CCTGCTAGTGTCGAAGTGGCAAGGCAATGACCCGCGGCTCCAATTCCTGCAGCTGGACTTATCAGACTTGGAATCGGTGCGGAAGTCGGCGCAGGAGTATGGGGCCCAGGGTCTAGCACTGTAGTCACTGTAGTTTAAGAGTCTAGAATCTGCTACTGCTGGGGATGGTTGCAGCGGTGGCTCGTACTGCTTCCATGCTCGAGACTGCAGCTGACGACGAACTCCACACTGTCATGATCATGATAGTGCAAATTTATGTGTTGATGCTGCAGCCACATGTCTTGAGAGGATTGTTGAGATGTTTCAATCTGTTTAAACATTGGTCAGTGCGCCCTGCCGATGTGACAGGACTTGAAGGGACTCCTGGGCTCGGCAACCTTGGACGCCCTCATCTTGAACGCGGGCTGCCTCAACCTTGAGAAATCCTCGACGAAGCAAGGCTGGAACATGTTCGAACCATCGAACAGAGATCGAAGTCGTTGCTCCATGTTACCATTGCTTCATGCTGAGGTCTGGAGATGACCATGGGAGTTTGCCATTTCGGCCACTTCCTTTTCACCGCGCTTGTCTGGCCTTGCCTCTCCGCTGATGCACGGATCGTACCAGTGTCCAGCGTAGGGCACACCTGGACCAAAACCGGAATCGATTTCGAGGACATCAACTGGGACAAGCGCAACTATGACGCCTACGAGGAGGGATGACGCGAAAAAGAGGTTTGGATAGCGTGTAAAAGGAGTTCACATTAGGAACTATGGGCATGTGACTCACGAAGTATTCAATGAGACCAAGATGTTTCGTAATGGGTGTACCACTCATGCCCGACACAGGTCTACTTCCAAGCCAAGCTTGCGAACGTTTACTTCACCAAGGAACTTGGGCGACGATCAGAAGCTGCAGGTCTAAAAATCACAGCCACGACGCTGTCCCCTGGTTTCGGGAGGAGTCTTAAGGGATGACGGCAACAACCATCATAGGCTCTTGTATTGCTCCAAGCAAATGGGAGGTTACAAGCACCTGCTTGAAACACCCCATTCTGCAAACTCTGCACCTGGATTGAGCACCTGTGGCACCAGCAAGCAGTCCACTGCAAGTATCCGCATGTTCACGAGCGCATTTGCCATTGCCAAACGTTTTTGGTGTTTAGTGTTGCGCAGTTCTGTCTTGTTCAAGATTCAAGTGCACTTTCCAACAAACACCCGTAGAGCGTGGAAGCACAAAGCTGATGTCCAATGCGTACACTAGTTGAAAGAATCCTTGGGAAGGAGTGGGCTCTACCGTGACTTCACTGGCTGCATGGACTGCGTTGCAGGCTGGGTATCCGAAGAGAATGACAAGCTTTCCATCAATACCATGAGGGCTGCGACCGACATGACCTTGAAGAATGGAGATTACTTGGTGCCGAAACGCATGGGCTTCTACGGCCCACCGATTGTGGTCCCAGCATCTGAGTTGTCAGAAGACAAGACGATTGCCACGAAGCTGTGGGCCAAATCAGAGGAGATTGTGGGACAAAAGTTTCAGATTGGCTGAGACCGTCAGAAAGACGGCACAGTGTCACATCGTGACGTTACCCATGTGATTGAAATGGTCGACGTGCTGCAGTTGTGCGGTGCTACGGACTTTGTTTTCCAAGATTGCTGACCTTAGTTGCACCCAAGATCTGGTTCAAGCCGCGCACATCAGAACATCTCATGTGACTTATGGTTCCTTTAGGTTGATAGCCCGCATGCGTTAACTGCTACTGTAGATCCCGGATCCCGGCTTCATACTTGCGTGATATACTTGTTCAGCGCTCTCCATGTCTGCCTCTGGCGCCGTCTATCTGTCTCTCCCGCTTTCTGATGAAGTGTCGTTTTGTCCCTCTCTTACTTCTGTCTGTGTCATAATGTATTTGATAATCTCTTCCTGTCTCTGTCCGTTTGTCTGCTTGTCTTTCTGTGTCTGTCTCTGTCTCTATTGACTCTATCTCTGTCTGTCACGTTTGCCTGATTTCACTTGTCTTGTCTGACAATCTGTTTGTAGATTTGTTTGTCCATCTGATCTGCTTGTCTAGTTCTATCCTAGTTATGATTATAGATCTTCTTCTTTATCTTAATTTAGTATTCATTTGTTGATAGCTATTCGGACGTTTGTACTACTTAGTCAAGAGATTCTATTTTGAAGTTATTCTAACCTTATTAAAAATTGGTTGGAAGAATATCTTGCTTCTTCTTTTGTGAGGTGAGTATCGCTGAGTGACCGGCGAGGGCTTGTCATTGTGTGTCGTGGGGAGTGACGTGGAGTGCGAGCAAGGGTGGGTCGAGGAGAGGCGGGCGAGGGCGTCTGGAGGGCGGGTCGGAGGGAGTGTCGCGGAGAGGCGAGGGCCGTGGATCGTGGGGAGTGTCGTATGAATTTGAGGGGCGTGCCGAGATGGCGGGGGAGGGATTGGGGGGGGGGGG